GACTACCTATAGTCCAGTCGGTTTCGTTGAAAAAGCGATTTATCAGTTGGGGATCATTCCTCGTGAGTTCTCTGTTGTCGTATTCTTCACTCTCTTGATCCTGTTTCGCACCGTATTTGCAACTCTCTCTAGTGTGGTTGCCGTCTAGTTTATTTTGTCATTCACGAAATTAAGTAAAACATTCAAACATGATGTAGTAATAAATATCCATAAAGCATTTACATTATTAATTGAAAATGTTTTATTAAAACGTGAAGAAAAGTTTTTAGCTAATTCAAGCAAATATTTTCCATGTTATGTTAAATGTGTACCACGAACATATCATGAAGTGCTAAATTTAATTAATTGTATAGCAAAATTTGGTGTTAGTGATCTTCAGTGTTACTATCCAACATTAAAAGCAATGAATCTAAACCTTGAATCAGCATATTTAACAAAAGAAGCAGGTGTTTTTTTCGATCATGAATGTTATAAAAAACATATAACAACAATTGATATCGCTAAATTCATTACATCAGCAAAATGGGTTCCTTGACGTTGAATCATAATGATTATCTTTTCTTCACTCAATTTAGTTGGTAGTAGACTGCCTAGCAATTTTACGTGCTATTTTTGTTTTCATTTCTAAATGTCAATCAAAACATCAAGCAATGTTGATTTTTACAAAAACATGTCAAGAATGTCAAAAAGAGTTAATATTAAAAGCGAAGTCGAGTGTTTATGTATTTTTAAATGATAAGGTGGAACATGGCTACATTTTTGAAGATAAATTGTAACATTGCATATCATGCAAATTATTATATTAAAGGTGATAAAAGAAAGTAAATGTAAAGAAGGCAATATTATAAAATGTTAATTCGTCCATTTTGCCGTTTCATTGTTCGTAGTCAGCAGAGGTGGGATCGGTTCGTGTTTTTCTGCACCCGAACCGAACCGAAACTCTCTGAAACCGAATCGGATCGAACCGATCAATTTTTTTTATCTGTAATTAAAGTTACAATAAAACGTAAAACTCTTTGTCTTTATCATTCAAACACTCCTCACTTTAGTTCTTTGTTTCCATGTGTATTCTTTCTCTTCGGAAGTGTTTTAACTTCACTTTCAAAAATAAAAACTAGACCTGTTATCACAGGAAAACAACTGTTCTATAAGAACAAAAAATATCAGATGAGTGTTTGTTTAGGCATTTTTTGCCAGTAAATATTTATATTTTTGCTAGGAATTCTTAAAAACAATATCATTCACAGTAATACTAGTAATGCCACCGAAATGATTATTTGTAAACCTCTACTTAAACATGTTAACAAAATACACTCTTTTTTAGTTTTGATACCCTTTTGCGCACAGCACAGGAAGCTACTTGAGAGAAAATCAAAGACTATTGGTATAGCCTGTGACTTTGTCACAACTTTTGACCATACTCCACATCGGACGAAAAAAAATCAATCTGAAAAGCAAGTCACTTTCTATATTCTATCCATCATAGAGTCCACGAAAACAGATTTTTCAGTTCATGGACTCTGAAAAGTAGTCCAGTCCAGTTCACAATACAAAACACAACATGTTTTTTACTGATTATTCCTCGGTTCAAGTGAATCCAAATTTTGGAGTCCAGACCAGTCATCGGTCTAGAAAGTTTGAGTCCAGTCCAGTCCGAGTGTATGAGCTCAAAAAATTTTCAGCACAGTCCAGTCAATAGGGAGATCTGGTAGAATCGCAACAACTTATTTAAATAAAAGAGAATTGTGTAAAAATCTTCATCTTAGCAAAGTTTCGACATTTTGCGCACATATGTTTGTATACGTAAGATACTTATTCCTGCACATGCTTTTGGCTATAGTACCTTCCTTTGATTACTTATGCTTCAAACAGTAAGTTTTATTTTACTTCCTCGTTCGAAATAGAAACATCTCAAATCTAACTTTTAAAGAGTTATTGTTTTAAGCTACTTTAAGGATGGACAGTAACGATGGGCCTATTGCATGAGTTAGTCTCCGTTATACCATAGATAACCGAATCATTTATCTGAACGTCGACACTTAAGAGTTTGAAGGACATGGTCTGTCCGTGACCCAAAAAATGTCCTACACAGGTGCAAGTAAGGCTTAAACCTTGAGGTTTCCACTACCAAACAATAAAAAATATTCATTTTGAAAAACATATAACCAGCAGAGATGGGACGGTTAGTGTATTTCTGTAACCGAAACTTTCTCAAACCGAACCGAATCGATTTATGAAAAACTCAGACCGAATCGATCCCACCTCTGGTAGTTAGAAGCTTGAGCGTCTACTATGTGTAACGTTCTATTATAAACATATAGCAATGATCTACTTGTAACATTTCGTCTTGCGTCCAACATTCTATTAATATATATGCTTAAGTCTCTACCCTTGAACAGAGACCGCCCTGACACGTTAAATGATTAAGGGGTAGAGCAGTAGTGCTAGTTAGTCCTTGATTAGCAGGTGTTATAGACCCAATACCCGTTTTACCTTGATTCAGACGAAATCAATATGAATAACATCACCTGTTGTAATATACGTCCGTCTGATTGATTAACGTTTGAATATGTCTACACACATATTGTAAAACGTGTCGGCCGCAGTAAAAGTAAATCGTTTAAGGTCAGATAATTACTGTTCGTAAAAATCACCATTCTATTTACAACTCCTGGTGCGAAATTGAATGGGACCACTCTTTACGTATTGAGAAAACTGTTGATCTGATCGTTAGATAATAAAGTATAAGATAGAAATAATCGGGTGAAAGATACAATTTCCTTATTTTTAGTGATGAATTAATCAGCATGGTCGATTATATATGTCTCAACGAAAATGATGTGGAAGTTCGAAGGCTGTGTAACTCCTCCTCTGAATTCCTCTGAAAGAGGAAGAACAAGGAGTGAAAGTTTGTAGAAAAAGATAATGCTGGACCCGAGTAGTAGTTCTGTTGCTATATATTTTTGATATACATAGCTGGGACTTGAAACAAGCCATGAAGTAATTTCTGGTCATCGATTTTTAACAATTTTTAGAAAGTGAGGAATTTTCGAAGTCGAAAAATCATTGTTGATAACTGTTTCATTAATGCAATTTAATAGTTTCTGTGGATGGGTTACTAAATTAGCTCAAAATACAGTATGTAGCAAGACTGTTTCAGATAACTTTGAGGAGAAAAAACAAACAAACTTTTGTAAGTAAAAACAGCAAAAACGCTTATCGGCGCAGATCTTCGGTCTAGAGTGTGTCTCCTTCATTTGACCCAGCCACAACATGCTGTTAACATATAACGATACGTCGCTTACAAATAGATCGAAGTAAAAATCTATTATGTTTAACCTTCTCTCACCAGTACATTTTATGTCTAACGCTAAAAGAGAAACATAGCCCTTTATATGTTCATTAAATGTACAAAATTTTGGGCAGCTTGTTTACGCGAGATTCATACACTTTGCTTTGCCCGTGCGTTCGCAAGAAAGTGAATGAAGTTAGTGAATATGAAGAAAGTGTTATACGTAGACAGGTTAAATTTTCTTCTACTAGAACCTGCTGGAACCATATGGACCATTCTACAATGGAGTGCTTGTTCCTTTTAGTCTTACACTGCCAATGCTTAAGTCCATAAATGTCCGTACGTCCGCAAACGTCAGGGAGAGGGTGGTTTAAGTTTTTCAGCACAGCGAAATAGCTAGAGAAGCAGCGAAGCGAGACAAGAGGTAATGAACTATGGAAAAGAAGAGATACGTAGAAGGCGTTACATCAAATTTTCTGTATAGTAAACTTCGTATCTCATTGTCCGATGATGAAATGTGTACATTTCGAAACATCAGATTGTGTATAATAATAAATTAGAATGACTAGATTCCAAGTTTCATAAATTTCGTAAATGTGTGGTTTATGTTGTTTCAGGTTTAATTAATTAGTTCCTTAATTAATTGTAGTATTAATGTGTCACATTGAAACATATAAC